CTGTCTCTGTGGCCTTCCCCTTCATGGTCTTGATGTCATTTGTTTGTATAATCCCTCATTCCTCTCTTCAACTGGACTCCAGGAGCTTGACCCAGTGCTTGGTTATGAATCTCCGCATCTGCTTCCATTAGTTACTGGATGAAGATTCTATGATGACAATTAGGGTAGTAAACAATCTGATTACAGGGAAAGGCCAGTTCAGGCACCCTCTCCATTATTGCTAGTAGCCTTATGCCCCTCTCTGATCCATGGCTACAACTACAATGGAAATTAGTTTAGAGGCACTCCAAAGAGATAGAAATGGAACTCCCATATAACCCAAGTCTACATCTGGAGTATATGCAAAGGACTCTATCCAACTGAAGAGATACTTGCTCTTCCATGTTTGTTGCTACTTTAGTTACAATTGCTAGGAAAAGGAAGCAGTCTAGTTGTCCAACTGATGAATGGATGATGAAAATATGATACATGTATACAATGAAATTTCATTCAGATCTAAAGAATAACATATGTAAATGCATGGAATTAGAAAAAAAAAATCATGCCAAGCAAGGTAGTGAGCCAGGTCCAGAAAGAAAAATGCTGCCCATTCTTGCTTTTTCCATGGGTCCTAGCTTCAAACTTTTACAGCTGTGTGTTTAACTTGAAGTTAACTTGAAGTACCCCTAGAAACCAAGAGACTAGCCACAGGTCTTTGATGTAATCAATGCCAGAAAGGAAGGGGACTATTAGAATATACATTTCAGTTTCCATGACAACGTTTACTTTCCGTCTGTGTGGGTCTTTACTAGTCAAGTGAGAATGTTTGCTGTTACTGAGAATTTTTACAGTTTTAATCCATTCTGACCATGTATATCTCTTACTTAAAGGATTTAGTTCAATTACATTCATTACATTCAAAATTGTTATTGAGACTTTTGATTTTTAGACAGGGTTTCTCTGTATTGTATTGGAGGCTGTCCTGGAACTTGCTCTGTATACCAGGCTGGCCTCAAACTCACAAAGATCTACCTGCCTCCCAAGTGCTGGGATTAAAAGTATGTGCCACCAATGCCAGGCTCTTCTGGTTGCTTTTAATATTCTTTATTTCCTATATTATTCATTTTGTGGTTTGTGAGTTTTTTGAACCAATAGCATTAGATTTCTTTTTCTATATCCCCTTTGTGAATCTACTTTTCTAGTAGAATGTGCACTGTTACTTTCTTTGGTGAGAGGCAAGTCTTTCACTCTGTATGGGGGGGGGGGAATTTCCTTGAGCATAGTCTGTGATGCCGGTTTGATGAACATGAATTCCTCAGTTTTGCTTGCTTTTGGATGCTGCTACTTCCTTTTGATTTATTTCTTTCCTTTTTATTGTTGTTTTGTTTTTTTGTTTTGTTTTGTTTTGTTTTTCAAGACAGGGTTTCTCTGTATTACACTGGAACTTGTCCTGAAACTATCTCTGTTGTCTCTGTCATTTATAGAGTTTACATACTATCCTCCTGTGGTCTTGGATGGAGTTGAAGACAGATAGTTATGGTTATAGTTTTCCTTAGTTAGGATTAAAGATAAGTTACATATAAGACTTTAGACCCACAAAGATAGTATAGAAGATGGAATATTTTCTTTAAATCTTGCTAAATGTTAATGGACTAAATATTGTTAATTATAGTTCTTATTCGATAACTGTTTTGTTATATATTTTACCATGTTAAAGTTGAAATCCTCCCGCCCCTTTTTCTTTAGAAAGAAAAGAGATGATGGGAAATGTCATTCTGTAAAAATATTTCTCTTATTGGTTAATGAATAAAGCCCTGTTGCCCAATAAGAAAGCAAGATAGGTGGGACTAGGAGAGATAGAGGATTCTGGGAAATGTAGTAGAGTGACAATGTGATCTCCGGAGGGGAGGACATGAGTCTGGCATTCTTAGTAAGATAAGACTATGTAGAAATACATATATTAGTAATTATGGGTTAATATTTAAGACAGAGCTAGCCAATAAGAAGCTCTAGTCTTTGGTCAACAGCTTTATAACTAATAGAGTCTCTGTGTTATTTGTGGACTGACGTGACTCTGGGGCCAGGCTGGCCTCTAATTCACTTGCCTTTCCCCCTCCACACCCACCCCCCGCTGCAGAGTGCTGAAATTAAAGGCATGCACCACCAACACCTGGCATCCTTTTGATTTCTTAACCTCATGGATTATAGTAATGTTGGTTGGCAGTTTATTTCTTTTAGGCTTTATGGTATATCTTTCTATTCCCTCCTAGCCTGTGGGATTTTTGTTGAGCAATCTGCTAGTAGTGTAAATAGGAGACTATGATGCTTTTTTTCTGTCAGATTTTAGAATATTTTAATGTCTTAAACTCAATATGTTATGGTGAAAGATGTTCGGTCATTTATAGTGGTGTCTAATTAGTCTCTTCCATATTCCACCCAAGATTAGAAAAGATTTCTCCTATTATTCTTCTGCAAATGGAGTTGCTATGCCCTTAACTTTTCCCCTCTACTTTGGGTGGATTTTTCACTTAATGCTGTCTTTAAAATTTTGGAAGGTGTGTTAACTCTTTCTTCTTTCCTGTTTTCCCAGCCTCCCCTCCTCCCTGTTTGCTTCCTTCCTTTTCTTTCTGGCTGGAAAAGAACTAAAATCAACTTCACACATTCTTCCTTTCCTATGATCTAGTGTATTACTGGGCTGGGAATTATTTGATTTTTCATACTCTATTTACAAAGTTTATTTGTTCTTTTAAAAACTCTCCATCTCTGCTAAATTTCTAAATCCTGTTCTACTATCTTCCTATTTCATTTAAAGGTTTGATTGAATCCTCCTGGATCTTAATGAGCTTCCTAGTATTCATTCTTTCCAATTCTAAAATTTTTGAATAATAATTTTATTGATAAATAATCCACAGAGCATTCAATTTGTTTATTTCAATTTAATGGCTTCTAGTTCAATATATTCAGTTTTACTTTTTTTCAAGTTTCATAGATGTAGACAATGTTCTGATTCCTCCATTAACTTCATATTCATTATTTTCTTATTCCTGTTTGCCTTTTTTGTCATCCCAACCACTCCTCTCCTATTTTCATGTCCTTTTAGTCTTTTAAGTTCCTTATTGGGGAACTTAAATTTAATTCATTTAAATTTCTTTGATATTTTGTTTCTGGAGTTATTTGTTCCTTTAGGGGCATTCTATTACCATGTTTTATGGTATTCCTGTGCATCTACAATGAGATTCGGATGCCTGGGAAATCATTTATATCTAATACTTTCACTGATTGGTCATCTCAACAAGCATCTTTCTCCCAAAGACGTGGGGTAAGCTGCAAGATTAAAATACAGTATTGTTGATTGTTTCTAGCTGGGCCCCATGTGTCATCTCAATATAGGTTCTTTGTCTATAGCTAATAACCCTAGGTAGAATTAGTGTCTTGGAAGAATCAGACACCTACTGTCTCTTTGGTTTCTGAGTGGGGACATTTTTAAGTGTTCTGGCAGATGTGGTGCAGACAGCAGTATGTGAATCCTAACCTAGTGTTGTTATATAATTAGAGTAGTGGCCTCACCAGATGCAGAAGTTTCCTCAGACACTGCTAATGTAATCCAGACACTAGCAACGACCTCTGGTCTGATAATGGTCCAGGAGTGATATTGATTCCAAAGCTTTTATCATCTGTCCAGTCAACAATACAAGTAGATGCTCCATGGGCCAGTAGATATTCCTCACTTAACACCCTAAACAAGAAGATTTTAATGTTCTATTTTATATCATCTGAGGAGTTATTAGTTAAAGATTTCTGAAAAGGAATTCTTCTTATGACATTTCCCATATTGAGATGCTATTGGGGAAACATTGTCTTGATCTGCTTGTGTTCTCTATTCTCAAGTGTTGAGTCTGCACTTGGGGTGGGGGGACATCTTTCCCACTTCTGACCTGACAAAAACATCAATGTCTGCTCTTTTGCAATAAAGTCCATCACTCATCACTCATTTCCTCAAGTATTTCCCCAGTTTTACACCTCATGATATCTCTGATTTTATGCTCATTTCTGTTTTCTTCCTCATGCATGATTAACAATGTGGTTTGTATTTGAGTTTATTTCCATTTTGTTTACATTTTAAATCCTAGAATGTTTCTATCTGAGGTTGTATTTGTCTACTATTTATGGATCCTTTCAAGCCTTACTGTTATCTCTCACACAAATGCCTCAGTAGCACTAAGAATTTTATTCATAGATTCTTGCTTATTGTCATAATTCCAAGACTTACTGCACTGGAAGGAACAAAAAATTCCTGCTCCATCCCATCTTCTAAATTTCTTTTCTGCCTAGTTCCAGCTAAATTCATATCTAGGCAGCACAAGTTGTACAATAACTGACATTTGTGTGTTTTCTTTACTGACCTAGTGTCCCTGTAATGAACTTTGAAAAAAACTGAAGAGCACTGATCATTTAAAACATAATTATACAAATATAGGTTGTTTCAAGTCAACTTATTGTGGTATTATATTTTAAAACCTTGACTTCACTTAGTTTTTAATTTTCCTTTTATAAATGACTAAAAATGATTTAAAACAGATTCTATTCTTTTCTTGGTAGCCCCCACTTCTTGTCTCTTCCACATGAATGAAATCTTCTCCTAGGAAGCAAGAGAACTACAGTGCCCTCTTTTTTCTAGGAGTAATTAACTGTTTTTTAATCAAATGTGGGTGGACTCCAGACACAACTCTTTTTATATGAGAATTATTGTGACTGAATTACTGAACTCTAAACCCCCCCAAAAAAAAATTTTAATCAAAAAAAAAAAGGAGCAGCAGCACCAACCACCCCAAACTCTAATATCACTCTACTTTCAAGTAATCACCTAGGTCATTCTAATGCTGACTATTATTTTCAGTAATAGCCTTGATGTTGTAAATGAATATAGGCATGAATCTTAATGAAACTAGCTAGTGATCTATTACATTCCTTATGGATGCTCTTTTTGTTTTTGTTTTTGTTTTTTTTCACATAATAGAAACAACTCCTGGCGTCATAAAGAACCAAGTTCCCACTATGAACACAACAGTGTCAAATCTTCCTACTTCAAATGCTGTTTCAACATGGCCAAGTTCCCAGAACAAAAGTAAGCATGATGATTGTATTCTGTTAATATATCAGGTAGAGCTATCCTCAAAATGTTTTCCAGCCCATAGTTATAAAAAGAACCAAGTGCTTTCTTCTACTCACCATCAAACAAGGCAACAATCTGGCTACTTTGATTGGATTTTTAACTCGCAGTCTATCCAAAGCCACAACAGTATGGGCTCCAATGCAGATCAAGATAAAGTTGAATCATCATTTACTGAATCATTTGTCTTCAAGAGGACAGTCAGTCAGCAAAGTACACAACACTGATAAAATTAGAGCATTCTCTCAAAAAAAAAAGCAATTCACTAAGATATAATGTGAAAAAGTATAACATTGAAAAAATTGAAATGTAAGTTGGAAATATTCAAATGAAGAAAATCCCAACAGAGAACATTTTAACTATTATTAAGGAAGTGAATTATAATATCCATTTCTCCAAACTGAAGAAAGATTGAAAATTTGAGTGTTTCCTCTTGAGTATAGACTGGCCAAAATGCTTTTGGCAATGAATAAAGTTCATGAATTTACAGAACTCAATTTCTAAGTTTATTCCATCACTGTAATAATCAATATTTTCCCAAGTGCCCCTGTCCCCTGGATTGCTGGCTAGTAAAGCTCTGATGATTCCCTATGTCTAGAGCAATCCTAAAATCTAGAGCAAAGGCGGGTTTGCTTTAGAAGAGAGGAGTTAATCAGACTTGTTCCTTAACTCATTATTCAGAAAAAGTAGAATGAAAATTAAATATAAATTTATATTTCTATAACTTTAGCATACTTTTTAAAATCACATTTATTTCTCTCATGCTATTTTTTATTCTGTCTATAGAATATAATGTCCTGAAAGTAGAGATTTTATAGACAGAAATCATCATCAATTCATTCCTCTGAAATTATACTTAAAGAGATGTGGGCTGAATTCACTCACTAATTTGTATATCACCATTACTCTCACTGTGAGCTATAGTTACATACTAGACATTGCCAGCAATAGAATTAGCCTAGTGGGGGATGATAAAGACAGTTTATAAGGTAAATATTAACCTGATAATAACAAATTAATATATTCATAATAATAAATCAGAAAAAGCAAGTAATGGCAATATTGCAAGTTTCTCTGGAGTCAAGGTTGCCCTCTGAAATAATGGCATTAAGCAAGGAGGACTAAATAAATGGGAAATAATCATAAATGTCTGCAAAAGAGAAGATGAAGGGCAAATGTGGAGCTTAGGTTGACTAACAAAGAGGAGGCCTAGTGGTTGAAACAACCACTAGGTTACAGTAACAAACGAGCTCTTGTCTGTACAAGGCCAACTAGGTCACAGTGAATTCTAATAAATAGTAAAGGGTAAAGAAGAGAGCAATAGAATAATCTTGTTCATATCTTCAAAAGACATGGAATCATCAAGAAGAACTCATGGTACTAATGTTCATGACATTTGTCTGGGCAAGGATTTCTTAGATATGACAAAAAATAAAAAAACCACAGATAACAACAAAAAAGGACAAAGGGGTGATATTTTACCAAAACTAAAAATCTAACTTGAAATGGCCATTCACTTAATAAGTTAAGATACTAAGTATATAAAAACTCAGACAACTTAATAGTAAGAAACCACCAAGAAAATGAGCAAAATACTTAGACATTTCTCAATAAGAAAATAAAGATGGCCCAAAGTCTATACTCACTTAAAAATAATAATGAGATATGACCTCACATGTTTTAGAATGGCTTTTATCAAAATGATGAAATATGTGGTTGAGAACTGGAAGAAAAGAAAGAAAAGAAACCTTGAGATTGTTGGTGGAAATATAAATTAGTACAAACACTGAAGAAAACCATATGGATGTTTCTCAGAAAATTAAAAATAGAAAATAGAACTACCATATGATCTGGTAATTCCATGTGTGTGATATATATATATATGGAAATTAAATCTGTATCTGGGCAACATATAGTTATTTTTGTTTATTGCAACCACATTAAAAATAGCCAAATAGCCAAGCCAAGATAGAGAACAACCAGGTATAACGAGTACAGTTTTTCTGCCCGCCACCTGGTCTTGTCCCACCGCCGCGCCAGCCCCAAATAATGTATTTGATACAATGCTATTGGCCCGGTTACTTGTTTCTTATCCGCTAGCTCTGTCTTAATTATTAGCTCATTTCTATGTATTTCCACATGGTTTCACCTACAGGGGAGTGGGGCAGGCGTCTGGTCTCCCTGGTCTCTCCATGCTGACTCCTTACTTACTACTTCCTCTTTCCTCCTCATCTCCTAGTCCCGCCTATCTTGCTTTCTCTATTGGCCAACAGTGCTTTATTCATTAACCAGTATAAGAAACATAAACAGAATGACATCTCCCATCAACCAGGGATGTCCTTCAACAGATGATAGACTTAAAAAAAGAAAAGTAGTGAAATGTATATAAAATTGAAGAACACTATGAATTTACAAAGAAAAACATAGCATGTGTACAATGGTGTGGATGAACTTGAAGGTCTTACACTAAGGGAAATAGGCCTGGAATCGAAATACAAACATTTTGTAACCTTTCTTATGTGTGCAGTCTTAAGATGTTTAACACTTCTGAGCTTGGCAGCATGGGCCTGATATTCTAGGTGTTTAGAAGGGTAAGGCAAGAGGAGCTCAAGTTTAAAGCTTGAATAGTGAATTTAAGGCCATGCTGAAAGACTTTGCAAGATTTGGTTTCAGGTTTTTTGTTTGTTTGTTTGTTTGTTTCTTTTTCTTTCTTTCTTTTTCTTTTTAGATGAACTCACACTAGGAGAGAATGATAGTCGTAGGGAGTAGTTTGGGGGTATGTAGGACAATGTTCTGTTTAACCAGTAAGAATCAGTGCTAGGGCTTGATCTTATAGTACATCATCAGTGATAAAAATAATGGAATATATTATTGGAAACATAAAAGATAAGATTTTATGAATTCTCATCACAAAGCAACTGATATAGCCTTTCTACAATGAATACATATGTCAGTATTACTGGATGGCATGGTATTTAAGAGTATGTGTTACTCTTAAGCTCTTAGATCCCGTATTATTTTTCCCATTACCATGACAGCTATCTAACCAAAACAACTTAAGAGAAGAGGGTGTATTGCTCAGTGTCAAAGGAGCCAATCCACAGATACCTGGCTCTATGTACTTGGGTAGAACATGGTGATGGGAAGAACATGCTGGTGGGAATATGTAGAGAATGGGACTCCTCATCCTGTCACAGAAAAGAGTGAAATTAGAAGTTGGCATGTCCTCAGTGATCAACTTTACTTCAGAGAGACTCTTCTTTCTATCATTTCTGAAAAAATTATCAGTTGGTCACCTAGAGTTTAATATATGAGCTTGAGAGGAACATCTCACATTCAGAGTATACATGTTCAGAGTATAGCATTCTGCCCTTGGGTCCCAAAGGCTGATGAACATCTCACAATGGAAAAATGATTTTAGTCCATCTCCCAGAGTTTCCAAAATCTTAACATGTCCATCATTGTAAGTCTAAAGTCCAGAGTCTACTGTTGTTCAAGGCAATCCCTAGTTGTGAGCCATTTTAAAATCAAAAAGAAAATTTGGTGTGCCCAAGATACACAATACAGCATGAACATCCTCAATACAAAAGGGAGAAATTGATGCAAAGGAGGGATAATACAAGCAGAACAAGCTGGAAACCCAGCAGAGCAAATATTAAACCCTGTAGATCCATGTGCAGCATCTGTGTTGCAAACTATGATGAAGCAGTTTCCAAGGGACTCTCAAAAGGTGTTGTTGCTCTCCCTATGACCTTTGCATTTGAAGACCACAAGGCTTTCTTAGGCAGGCTTTACTCATTGTCTGAAGCTTTCATCAGTATATTCCTGGCATCTCTAATACTATGGGATGTCTGCTGTAACTTGGGATTAATCTTCATCCTCAGTTATTCTTCACTTATCACCCCTGTGCTGCTTCCAAGGACTCAAATTCTTCCCATGTTGCCTTGACTCTAAAGCCTTCATTTGATATCTGGGTGAAGGCCCCAATGACTCCACAACCCTTGTCCTCTGCATATCTGCAATATCAGCATCACTTAAACAACACAAAGGTATCAGTTGTGTGACTAGGGCAACCACATTGGACTTTAGCTTCCAGAGGGCCTGAGCAACTGAAATCCATGGTTCTGACAATACATGGCAACTTATAGATCTCTTCTCAGACACAGGCTTTCAAATGAGTTAGAAAACGTTTACTTCTTGGTCCTATGGTGAGTGGCACCTGGAGAATACTTGAGATAACCACAAAAACATGTTATTATCCCAGTGCAAAGTGATTTTAGTTCTTTTTACTGACATTAACTTCCATCTCAGCCACAATCCTCATCCATATTGAACTTTCCTAGTCAGATTGCATGCTTATCAAGGTTTTCTACTCTCCTTTTTGCTTCTAGCTCTCATGGTAAATGTACCTAAAATTAGCTACATGGTATACATACCACAACCTACGGGATATGCAATTCTCCACCAAATTAACCCCATTGCTTCTTAGCTCAATTTCATGTCATGTGTTAGAAATTTGGAGTAAAGTAGACAAATTTTTAACCAGTATATGATAATGGCTTTTAGTTCAATACAGACTACCTGAAACATGGTGAGCACAATCTTGACTCTCCAGAATCCTCTCAGCATCCTGCTCTCTCAAGATACTTTGACCAAGACCACTCACAAAACATCCCACATTCTCTTGGGCCTATTTCTCAGAACATTTCCAAATTCATCCTAAAAACCAATTCCAACAACTGAAGAGCCACACGGTGTCAGATTTAATCAGAGCAATAATCCCATTTCTTTGGTGCCAAGTTTTTGATTGGCTACATCTGTGTGGTTATGACAAAAATCTCTGAGAGACTAACTTAATAAAAAGACTGCATTGGTTTATGGTCAAGTATTTCAGTCGAGTCCTCAGCTCCACTGATTCTGGACCAATGATAAGTCAGAACATGGGGTTGGTAGGA